ACGTGCAGCCCGGCCAYGGGTGGTGGTAGCGGCCACGCGGGTCCCTGCAGCTCCGTGGGCCCCGGGAGCTCCCGAGCCGCACGTCCCGCCGCCGGATGCTGCCGGGGGAAGTGGCCGCCGGAGTTGCGCAAAGTCGGAGCAAGCGGCAGTGCCCGTCACCAGCCTCCTGCCCYGGCACCGTCCCGGCTCCCCGCGCCGCTCCGGGGTCCCCGGCCGCGAGCCAGCGCCAGCCGGGTATGGGGGGACCCTCGTGCTGCCTCCGCCCCAAGGAGTGGGGCATCTGGAGCAGGGACCTGGTGCTGCTCCAGCATCTTCCCGAGCAGCCGGCGCTGACTCATGCCGGCCGCTGTCCCGGYGTGTAGCCGGTGCCTCGCGCTGCCGTTGGACGCGGTTGGTCCCGCAGCTGGCCTGCCCGGGCAGTGCCGGCCAAGGAAGGCTGCCCTCTCTGGGCACCAGTGTGGGTGAGAGCTGGTGGCCCATCCACGTGGGATGGGGACAGGCCCRTTGGGATGGTGGCAAGGCGGGAAGGACCCGCCATCCCGATGCTGGGGGCCTTGGGATCYGGCCGCATCCCAGTCACGCTCCTGGGCTCCTCCAGGCACCTTTCCCAATGCCGCCTGCAAGCGGAGGGGCTCAGTGAGAGCCAGGAGGGTGGCAGCATCACAGGGACAATGGTTCGTAGCCCAGCGGGGTTGGTTTGTGTGCAAAAGCCCCTCACGAGGGCTCCAAGGAGAGGGGCTGTGATGGTGCTGGGCTTCGCTGGCAGTTTCCTCCTCTGCCTGTAGCAAAGGTGGCAAAACGAGGAGGAGAGGGAGCTCCGGGAGGTGCTGTCACCTCCAGCCCCCTTGGACCTGGGACACCTAGGCCTGGCACAGCCCCATTCACCTTTGCCAGGAGGTGCCATCTCACCCCGCCAGCTCCAGTGTGCTGCAGATCGTCCTTCCCCATCTTTTCTCCCCAAAGCAGCACGTGATCCTGGAGATCCCGTGACAGGGGAGCGGGGCGGTCGCGAGGAGCCTGGGACGAGCCGGTCCCTGCCCTCGCTTCCCGCAGCTGAGCACAGACAGACGGACAGCGCCGGCGCGGGGACAGCCCTGCAGCTGCCCTATCAGCAGCACCCAGCGTTTTTGCATGGTTGTATCTCGGCTCCAGAGTTTTGCTTCCTCACGGGGCGTGCCGAGCGCTCCGAACTCAGCGGGCGAGCGAACCGCCCCACGGTTGCCTCATGTCCTGCTTGCCTTCAAGGGGAAAAAATGGGGCGAGTTTCCTAATTCTGGGAAGAGATCTGGYGTGCTGAGTGTCTCGGCCGTCTGGAAATGCTGGGAACCTGCTGGCTTCTCCTGATGCTTCTTCGAGTAAGTCGGGTTTTCTGGCTGTTGTGTCGAGATGCCCCAAGCAGCTGCCATGCGGGAGATGCGGATTGAAACCCCCCGAGGGAAGGAGCAAGCGTGCTCRTCTATGGGGATGCTGCGGCTGGTCCGCAGCTGCTCCCGTGGGCAAAGGGATGCGGGAGATGAAGGGGCTGCTCCAGCGGCTTAAAATACCCCTTGTGAACCCGTCTTCTCCCGGCACTGGGAGCTGGAGCGAAACTCGGTGAGTTTTGTGTTGCCGCTTGCCAGCTGAGTCGCCCCTTGCCCCGTGCTGATGCTGCCTCTCCCCATCCCTGCGGCTCCCTCGGGATGAGGGTTTTTCCGTGCTGGCAGCAGCCTTTCCATGCGGCTCCCCTCGGGGCAGGCAGGGCCCGCGTCGCTCCACGTCCTCCGGCCGCTGCAAGATTCGCATCTCGCGGTGGCGCCCGTGCCGGTGCTTTCCGGGTTCCCGAGGGGCTTTATCCGTTTCTCCGGCTCGGCCGCCTCGATCCCGTCTCCAGATTGGGCGTTAATGATTGACCACGAAGGCTTTGGCACAGAGCTCCTCACGCCAGCTGCCCGCGGCTTCACCCGATTCCTCCAGAATTTCCTGCTCCAGGGGTTTCCTACCCAGGACTGTTTCCTGCAGTGGTGCCTCCAAGTGTGTTTTGTCCTCGGGAACAGCCAAATATTCCAGCCACGGCAAATAAAGGCAGCGGGAGAGCAGGGAGGCCGCAGACACGTGGCTGGAACCCATCCCTGTCCCTGGCTGCAAGGTCAGGCTGCGCTGGTGCTCTCCAGGCCTCCCTTTGAGATGGGTCCCGCTGGGAATGAGGAACCAGCTTTGAGCTTTGCAAGGAGATGGGGGGAAAAAATGAACTAGGTAGCTTTTTTCCTCCTCTTTCCTCAGAAAGTTATTTCCTTTTTTTTTTTTTTGGTCTTTTTCTCTCCCTTTAACATCTTGTCATTTCCCCAGCTGCTTGCCTTGGGCTGCTGTTGTCAGCTCTGAAACTTGAGCCTGGGAAACACTGCGCTTTCCGAAGGGAGAGGAGGAGCAGCTGGGGCGAGGCTGCAGTCCGCAGGGCTGGGGTGCCCCTTCCGAGGGGAATTGGGTGCCCTTTCCCCGGGGAATACCTCCTGGAGGAGCCAGCGAGGGTTCCGCGTGAGGTTAATCAGTCACTCAAACCGTTGTCTTTCACGTGCGGGGCTGGTGAGAGCCGAGAGTAGCTGTTATCAAGGCTGCTGGTGCTGATGGATGCCTTTAAGGTGCTTGTTAATCATTGATGAGCGGAGCTCTTAGCGCAGCCTTTGCCTAATGGAAAACCAAGCCCTCTGCATCCGTGTTGGCTCCAGGGGTGTTTGACGGCCCTGCTGCCCCATGGGGACATTGTGGCGCGTTCCAGCACCTGCAGCGTCACCTCCCACGTCGTAGGGMAGGGCAGGGCTCTCGCGCCCGGGAATGCTTCTCCTTGCACCYGCTGCACGAGCGTGTTTAGCACCCAGCCACAGTGAAGGGGACCCACAGGACAGTGAAGGGGACCCAAGACGGTTCTGGAATTGGCTGTAGTGCTGGGTGCTCGCTGTGCCAGGCTTGGGTACAAGTGCCAGACTCGAAACTTGTGTGGCCAGTTCCACCACTGGGGTATTTTCCAGGGTGAAAATACTGCCAGATTTCCTGTGTTTCGCTTGCAGAGGGCATGTGGCCCCTTGAGGTGACCAAGGGGATGTGAGCAGCACAGAGGCCTCCACCCTGCCCTCCTCCTCCTCCTCGTCTCCGGGTGCCAAAGCCCGYGTCAATGGGCAGGGCCGTGCGGAGCAGTGCAGCGGAGCTGCGCTGGGTGACGGGTGGCGCAGGTGCCAGCGCAGGTGCCCGCTCCCCTGGGAGCCGCGGCGCCCGCCCGTGGCGAAGCCGGCTCCCTGCGCGGCGCGGCCCTCCGGCAGAGCTGCGCCCCGTGCCAGGCCGCGGCTCCGGGGAGCAGGGGAGCCGGCGGGAGCGGCGCGTGGCTGCGCCGGGGAGCGCCCCGGGCCTCGCCTGGGGCCACGGGAGCAGGGTCAGGCTCCACGTGCTGCCGTGCTCTGGGAGCGGCTGGTGCCTTTCCAGGGGAGAGGGGGAATGCAGGAGAGCCTGGAGCCTCCTGTTTGCCCCTGGGCTGGCTCCACGGTGTCCCCAGGCTGAGCTCTCTGCAGCCGCGGGCATCTCTAGTTCTGTTGCTAAAGAGCAAAACAAACAGTGTGTCCAGCTCGGCGGAGGGCTGGAAGGTTTTTCCAGGGCTGGTCCGCCTGGCTGGCGTCCTCCACCCGGCCGAGCCTCCCCGGCGGCGTCAGGGTGTGCGCCGTGGGCACAGGAGCCCCGCTCACCTGGACCGCTGTCCCCTCCGGCTGCGAGCWGCCCTGTCCCCAAACGCTGGGGAAGCTCCTGCCTGGGGCTCCTGCCGTCCCCGAGAGATGCTGCAGCCGAATGCCGCATCTCCTCCTCCTCCTCCTCCCCCTCGCCGGCGCTGACCTGGTTTCTCACGCGTGGTTTGAAGCCCGACGTCTTCCCCGCAGCAGGCCAGGCGGGAGGCGCCCAGCCGTGCCCCAGGGTGGCCGCGCGTGACGCTCGCGGCCCGAGGAAGGGGACAGCGACCGGTCGAGCCGGGCCGCGCGGGAGCCCCGCCACCCTTATGAGGTAAGGACGGGTGTCCTGGGGTGCTGGGGGCCGTGCRGGGCACCCAGGCGGCGCGTGGGGCCACGTCACGTCTCCGCATCGTGCCCGCCCCTCACGACGTCTGTGGCGATGACTGCGGCGCGCCTTCCTCCTCAGGCCGCCACCGTTAGGCCGTTTGCCCCGGAGGCCTCGTGGAGGCCRCGGAGCAGCAGGGATGTGCCCAGCGGGTTCCCACAGACATTCCCTGTGGGATGTGCTCCCGCAGGGTGTCCCAGCCTCGCTGCCTCCCTCAGCGGGTCCCGTGGAAGCGGCCGCATGTGTGTCCCCTCTGCTCCGTGACGCGGGACCTCCCCGCTCCGAGTGTGCCGCGAGTCCGAAGGCAGGACGTGGCTCCGCAGGGGCCCTCTCTGGTGGTGGCCCTCGTGCCACATCTGAGTCTCCTGGCCCCAAATCCACACGTTTGGCTCTCTTATCTCAGCCTGATGCCAGCCGTGCCCTGCTCGGGCCACCCCGGTGACACAGGCAGGGATCCCAGCTGCCCTGTGGCTTTGCTGAGAGCCAGACATGGCTCTGAATGATTGTGTGATCTTACATGGCTAAGTAAGCTTTAACCTTGCTTGAGGTATCTCTTGGGATATTTGGATGAGGCATCCAGGACTTGTACCTGGAAAGAGAAGGGAGCCAAGAGGTAAAATGCTGCCAAAACACGGCACAAAGTGTTGGTGGCCGTAGTGCCCCCACGGAGCAACCAGAGGAAAGAAACCTCTGCATCCTTCCCAGCAACAGAGGAAGTGCTTAGAGCCTCCTGGGGTCCCCCCAGCACAATGCCCCATTAATGGTTAATGCTTCTGCCGATGGCTTCCTGCTCGGATCTGCTTACCCTGCGGAGGCTGGGGAGGGAGGGGATGCAGCGAGGCCGAGGAAGGGGCGTTACAGCCGCTCCTCCCTTGCGAACGCACCGACCCCTCGTCCCTCGACCCCTCGTCCCTGCCCCTTGCAGCCTGCCCGTCGTCGCCCACCCGAGATGTCGACCGGCGATAAGAACGGAGGCAGCCGCGCCAGCAGCAGCCGCCTGCAGAGCAAGAAGCCCCCCAACCTCTCCATCGTCATCCCGCCCCGGGAGGCAGAGGAGGACGGCAGCCGCAAGGAGGTGAGCAGGATCTCCGGCAGCAGTTTGCTGGGACCCGTCTGTTTGTGGTGGAGTTGAGAGCCTCCCTGGAGCCTTCTCTAAGGCATGGGGTGGGAAGTGACATCTCCCATCTCTTGGGACATGCATGTCCAGCCACGGGCCTTGATACTCTTCTGGATGAGCAGTGGTTGAAACCAGTTCAGGTTCAGCACRGTGATGCTGGCAAGTGAGGAGAAGGAGCTGGTCACTGCTGTAGGGGAACAATCCTTCCTTGGTGCAGAAAATCCTGTTTCCTTCCATCCCATGCCGGGCTTGGGAGCAGCAGGAACGTGGACTCCTCAGTTACATGTTCTCTTTTCCAGCCCTCAAAGGTCCCCATCTACCGAAAGAGCAAGAGCCTGCAGGAAGCCAGGCCAAAGAGAGATGACAGCTCCTCGGAGAAACGTCCCGGCTTCCGACGGCAGACCTCCCTGTCCCAGAGCATCCGCAAGTGAGGACCTGGGAGAGCTGGTCGTTACCAACCCRGGATGGCACAGGGCCATGGAAGTGCTGGCGGTGGTAGGGTGACAGGAGGGATGCCCATGCTCCAATCTGAGTGTTAGGACTCCAGATACCAACAAGAGATCTCAGGGTGAGGAGAGTCAGTATTTGAAAGGAAAAGCCTAGGAGAGTTCAGCGTGGCCCTGTTTTGACTCGCTGTTGTCTGCCTAGGAATCATCCCACAGCAGAAGAATTAATTGGTACTGACTTAAATGGTTGTTTTATAGATGCCAGTGAATTTCTCACTGTTGTTTGTGCAGGACCTTCATAAACCTTCATAAACTCCTGCTGCAGCACAGAGCTGATATACTGATATCCCCTCTGAGCTGCTAGCTCCTGCACCACAGAGTCTCAGTGTTRGCTCTTCAGAGAGATCTGAGCACCATCAATCCCTCTGTGAAACCCTTTCTCCCTCTAGAAACCCGTAACCGGGTCAAAACTACACTGGGCTAAGCCCAAACTCAGCTTCCCTGCTGGAGAGGAGGATGTGAGAGCTTGGCTGGGATAGCAGTGCCGGGCGGAGGACGTRGGTCGCGTGGCGGGGAGCGCAGCCGGGCGGTGACGGTGGCCGTGGTCCTCCTCCGTGCAGGGGCACCGCGCAGTGGTTCGGCGTCAGCGGCGACTGGGAAGGGAAGCGGCAGCAGTGGCAGCGCAAGAGCCTGCAGCACTGCAGCATGAGGTACGGCAAGCTCAAGGCTGCCTACCGCGACATGGAGCTGCCCAGCCAGGAGGTGCCCTCCTTCCAGGGCACTGAGTCGCCAAAGCCAGCCAAGATGCCCAAGGTAGGAGCTGAGGGCGCGGGGTGGAGCTCCTGGYGCAGAGCCTTTCCCTGCAAGCATCAAGGGGCCTCTCCCTCTTCCCAGATCGTGGATCCGCTGGCCAGGGGCCGTGCCTTCCGACACCCCGATGAGAACGATCGTCCCCACACGCCCCACCACGTCCTGCCACCCCTGACTCCCGGCGTCGCCTCCTTGGCCTCCTTGAACAGCGCCCGGTCCGGCTACAGCCGCCTGCCCCGCCGCAAGCGGGAGTCCGTCGCGCACATGAGCTACAAGGCGGCCGCCGCGCTKCTCCGCGTGAGTCGCGGGCAGTGAGGCTTCCTTCTGCCCTTCACGACTTGCTTTGCCCTTCTGTCCCTCCTCGCRTCGTCTTGTTCATGTCTTCCTGATCCGTGCAAAGATCACAGCCTCTGGTGCGGGTTGGAGCGGGGAGGATGTTCTTAACCCAARCTCAACTCAAAAAAGAGAAGTTTTGGTGGAAGTGTGACCACCAAAGTGGAACTATCTTGTATGACATCCCTAGAAAAACCAGCTTTCGAGTTGCGTGGCAGACAGGTCTGGTGAGCTTCTGCTGCCGGGGAATTCTCTCTGGAGGCTTTCTAGTCCTTACAGAGTCTTGGGCAAGCCTTGGGGAGGTTTTGTGGGCARGGACTGAAAAGAGGATCCCAAGGTCACTTGTGCTGACTAACATGGTTATGATCCCCCCACCTTTGGCTCTTGAGCTAAAGGTGATGTCTCCCCACTGTTCTGCAGGCTGGGCTGCCTCGCACAAGAGGATGTGACGGAGGGTTGATATTTAGTGCTCACTGACATGGCTTTGGGGAGGAATGCTCCAAGAAACCCACAGCGTTGCCAAAACTAGGGGCTTCTTGTTTCTTATCCTTATTTGCTTCCCCTGCCAAAGGGCCGCTCTGTGCTGGAGCCGCTGGCTCCGAAGCAGAAGAGCAACAAGAGGAGCTTTGTGTACCCCAGCTTCCTGGACGAGGACGTGGTGGACGCTGCCGATACCCTGGACTCGTCCTTCTTCAGTAAGGCAAGCGCAGTTCCCCGCCGGCCGCCGGAGAGGGGAGGGGACCCTACGCGTGGCACCAGCCCCGCTGGTGGGATCAGGCCTTGGGGTGCCCTCAAAGGCTGTGAGGGGGCTGAGGGCAGAGCAGGGCTTTCACTGGGCATGTGCCCACCGGTGGGGAGCTTTGCCATCCCGTGCTCCATTCCCTCAAGAGCAGTCATCAGGAGAAAACGGCTCGCTATTTGAGGCCTTTCTGTGCCATCAGAGATGGGCCAAGGCTGTCACAAACACTCAAAGCCCACCAGAGCTGGGGAGATGAGGTGCTCACACCTACACAACCCAGTGCAGAGCGGTGACTCGCTTACCAAAATGGCAGAGAGAGGGGTTTTAGCTGCAGTCAGGTCATGGTGTGTTTTGGACCCTGCAATGGGGAGGTGGTGGGATGTGAGTGGAAATTGTCCTCTCCCTGGGCTCCACGGCCAACTCAGGGCTGCCTGGCTGGCTGTGAGCTTCACCAGTCAGGAGGTTCCTCGACCATCACCCAGGAGCTTCTGTGCTCCTTTCAGATGGACGTTCATGATGAGACGTACTCCATGCCCGATGATGTCTTTGAGTCGCCACCTCTCTCAGCCACGTATCTGCGCATGCACCCGGTGGGGGAGGACGTTAGAGTGTCCCCAGAAGTGGAGCAGCCAGCTCTGTGAGTACCMTCTCCTGGCTGTGTGCTGGCCCCAACGCTGCCTGCACACAGCCCCCCACTGCACACCCCATCCCTGTGAAGTGGGGACACTCCGTGCTGTRTCCCCATCTCCGCTGGTCCTGGGGCACTTGGACATCTTCTAGCACACTCCTGTGAGGATGAATCCAACAGATACCTTGGGATAAGGGCGAGGGGTATCCTCAGGGCTGCCCTAGCCCTGGGCTGAGGTTGTGGAGTTGCACATGGGATATGTCTTGGCTGGCCTCTTTGGGCAACCTCAGTGGGTTTCTCTTCTCCCTGCAGAAGGGAAGGTGTCCAGCTGAGCACGGCCTCCGAGGGCCCCGGGCCCAGGAGGGGCAGGCGCATCGCGTCCAAAGTGAAACACTTCGCCTTCGACCGCAAGAAGCGCTACTACGGGCTGGGGGTGGTGGGGAAGTGGCTGAACAGGACGTACCGCCGGAGTCTGAGCAGCATTGTGCAGTCCCAGCTGGAGAACACCGACAGCCACCGGTGAGCGGGACCAGCAGGACGGGTGTGTGGGCTGGGGGCCACCTGCGCGGGAACCAGCCGCGCTCCTCAGGGCTTCCCTGTGGGTCAGACAGGCTCATCTTCCCTGTGGAGCCTGGCGATCAGGAAAGGCTGCTTCTCTGCTGGCTGGGCGCACATCACCATGGTCGGTCACCGCATGTCCTCACGGTTGYTTTGCCTGGGTGGCTGCTGTCCCTGTGCCTGGCCGCCTCCTCCCTCCATCCAGCCATCCTTGGGCTGCTCCGGCCTTGGTCCGTGACCGCAGCCTCCTTCCTCCGCAGACCGTATTTCACCTACTGGATCACCTTTGTCCACATCCTCATCACCTTGCTGGTCATCGGCACATACGGCATCGCCCCCATCGGCTTCACCCAGCACGTGACAACACAGTTAGTAAGTTTAAGGTCTGCCTGGTGGCATGTCCAGCTTCCCAGTGGCAGTCAGCTGCAAGGGAAGCCAGCCTGGCACCCCGGGAGGGTGGTGTTACCCCAAAGGAGGGATCATCCTGCTGGGATGCTCCCAGAAACGTATCCTCCGGGGTGGCTGCTCGGAGCCTGGCAAGCCGCCTCCCGTGCCGGGCTCGCTCCCACCGTGCATTCCGCGTCTCCCACTCCGTGCGAGCTGGCTGTGCTGCTCTGCCTTTGCTTGGCAGGTGCTGAGGAACAAAGGTGTCTACGAAAGCGTCAAGTACATCCAGCAGGAAAACTTCTGGATTGGGCCCAGCTCGGTAAGAGAGGTGTCAGGCTGCCACGCTGAGGCTCTCTCCTCAGCCTGCTGCCGCTTTCCGTTCCTAGAGCCAAGGGTGGGAGCTCGCCGCGGTCTCCTCGGGGTGCCCCTTTCTTCTCTCCTCCCAGAGGAGTGCTCCAAGCCCAGTTACTCTACAGTCACCCTCTGGGCTCTTTTTCCCTGGTCCCAAACTGAGCTGGGTGGCAGCCCYGGGGAAGGGAAATGTGCCAGGGAACTGGGGTGGGCAGTGGACCTCCTGCCTGTGTGGAGAGCATCCCCCAGACTTGTGCCCCCTTCCCAGATCGACCTGATCCACCTGGGGGCCAAGTTCTCCCCCTGYATCCGGAAGGACCGGCAGGTGGAGCGGCTCATTCAGCGCGAGAGGGACCGGGAGCGCGACTCCGGCTGCTGCGTCCAGAACGACAACTCGGGCTGCATCCAGACGCTGCCGCGGGACTGCTCGGTGCGTGCGGCGCTGCTGCCTGCTCCCGCGCTGCGGGTGCTGGCCGGTGGAGAATTTACTGGGTTTTCTGGAGGGAAGGGAGAAACTGTCTCAGCCTGGTACAGATCTGGACTCTGTGATGCACGGAGGGGACAGAGCGGCATGGTCGGTGCTCGCACCTCGAGTCTCGTATCCCTGCAGGAGACGCTGGCCACATTCATCAAGTGGCCGGGTACTAATGCACCCGTGATGGACTCCGGCAAGAAGCGGACGTCGGGGGCCGTGTGCCATCAGGACCCCAGGTAGGRGCGAGCTCTGGGAGGAGAGCCYGCGGTCCCCAAGGTGGAGCGTGTGTGCGAGATGTCGCTTGGGGCTGAGTTGCTAGCTCAGTTGCCTTGAATCYGACTGCCTGGGAGCTGGCTGTTTGAGTAACTTGCAGCCCTTGCACACTATAGACAGGTGGGGGGAAGAGGGAATAGGCAGGGAGTGTGATTGGAATGGGGCAAAGGATAGTTTGGGGAAGAYCCTTAATGACACCCCAAATCCACCTCCTCCTCTCAGGACGTGTGAGGAGCCGGCATCAAACCCACCCCACGTGTGGCCAGACGATATCACCAAGTGGCCGGTAAGAGCCCGCAGCAGCTGCAGACCCTCTTCGCCCGTGCATTGAGAGCTCCCCGGATGGTGGCACCTTGGCGGTCTTGGASGTGGCACAGGGTGCCCAGGGGCTGGGAAGCGGCAGCGATTGGGTTCCTCACCGCAGCTCGTCTCCCTCCTGCCTGCAGATTTGCACCTACGAAACCAAGACCAACCACACGGGCTTTGCACATATGGACTGCCAGATCAAGGGCAGGCCCTGCTGCATCGGCACCAAGGGCAGGTGAGGCAAAGCCACGTGGGGATGGAGCCCAGGGCAGGCCCCCTGTGCTGTGCCAGGGGGAGAGGGAGGCCAGGGAGCCTCGGTTGAGCGCGGGGATACAGGAGGAGGTGGAAGGGCTGCGCTGGAGGGGACCCTCCGCGGTGGGAGCGGAGAGCCCTGCCGGGAGTGAGTCCCCCGCCTGCCCTGGCAGCTGCGAGATCACCACGCGGGAGTACTGCGAGTTCATGCACGGCTACTTCCACGAGGAGGCGACGCTCTGCTCGCAGGTGAGCGGGGCCGCGGGGCTCGCGGGAGCMCAGCCCGCGTTTCGGGGGCCCAGGGCTCGCGGCGCGTTGCCCTGTTAGGGGCAGAGGTGTCCAGCCTGGGATCCCACCTGCTGCAGCGGGAGCGATGCAAAGCCAAGAGCTTTCCTGTCGCAGGCAGGCAGGAACACAACCTTCCAGTGGCTGCTGGGGATACTTGGCTGGTCCCTTTCAGCCACACGTGCCCCAACTGCCGTGGGTCCCCTCTCTGACGCAGCACCCGGCAGCGCTGTCCCGGTGCAGGTGACCCCAGGGCTGAGCTCCTGCAGCCCCCAAAGCCATGTCTGCCTTTCCAGGTGCACTGCCTGGATGAAGTCTGCGGCCTCCTGCCCTTCCTCAACCCGGAGGTCCCCGACCAGTTCTACCGCCTCTGGCTGTCACTGTTCCTGCACGCAGGGTGAGCGACGGCTCTGTGTTCCCACTCCACTCTTCTACAGCCCAACCCCCTGGACAGGAGATAACACCGTGCCCAGGGGTTCTCCATCAGCTCTTAAACTGTGGTCCTTTGTGGTTTGGAATGGAAGAGGGGAGGAACACCCCGAGCTCGCATGAGATACCACATGGATGTGCTGTTTCCAGAGGGTGTCTTGTAAGATAGCTGGCCTTGTGCCCTGGGCTGGTGGGTGGGGGGGTCTGGCAAGGCCAGAGGGGTCTGAGGAGGGGTCAGCACTGAGGAGGGGTCTGGCAAGGCCAGAGGGGATCTAACCCGAGGCCTATTCCCCCAGGGTTATCCACTGCTTGGTGTCGGTGACCTTCCAGATGACGGTGCTGCGGGACCTGGAGAAGCTGGCAGGCTGGCACCGCATCTCCATCATTTTCATCCTCAGCGGCATCACGGGCAACCTGGCCAGCGCCATCTTCCTGCCCTACCGAGCAGAGGTGAGGGCACCGTGCCGGCCCGGGGGTGCCTCGCTGCCCTCTGCACCAGCCCTGCAAAGCCCTTAAGCCTCCCAGCGCTCCTGCCTGGGCAAGGCAGGTTGTGCCTGAGCAGTGAGGCGCCCGTACCCGCTCCGCTGGCTGCAACAGGCGTCAGGTCTCTGCCCACGTGCAGGGCCGGCACCTGCCGCCCGCTCCCGTGTYGCCACGTGCCAGCGTGCGTGCGGCCGCCCCGGGCGGGCAGGTGGCTAATCTGCTGRCAGCGAAGCCGGGCTTTAAACGGGATCCTGCAGAGCGCCCTAATCCAGCCGGGAGCGCGCGGGGCCGCGGCGGGGGCYGCCTCGCCGCCCGCTCTGTAGGTTGCTGAGCATCGCCCGTGGCTTGGGGGCTGCAAGAGCCAAATGCGCCTTGCAGGGGGACGAGAGGGTCCCTGGAGGGCTGGGGACCAAGGTGAAGCACGTGGGGACCCAGCACTGTGGGCATTGCAACCCACCCTGCCCTGACGCCCTCTCYCTTGCAGGTGGGCCCGGCTGGCTCACAGTTCGGCTTGCTGGCATGCCTCTTTGTCGAGCTCTTCCAGAGCTGGCAGGTCCTGGAGAAGCCGTGGAAAGCCTTCTTCAACCTCTTTGGGATCGTCCTCTTCCTCTTCGTGTGCGGCCTCCTGCCGTGGATCGACAACATCGCCCACCTCTTTGGCTTCCTCAGCGGCCTCCTGCTCTCCTTCGCCTTCCTGCCCTACATCACCTTCGGCACCGTGGACAAGTACCGCAAAAGGGCCATGATCATCGTGTCGCTGCTGGTCTTCGTGGGGCTTTTCGCCTCGCTCGTGATATGGCTGTACGTCTACCCGGTGAACTGGCGCTGGATCGAGTATCTCACCTGCCTGCCCTTCACCAGCAAGTTCTGCGAGAAGTACGAGCTGGAGCAGGTCCTGCACTGAGCCTGGGCGCACGAGGCCGCGGCGGGACGCGCAGAGGGAGGGGTGTCGCTGTTGAAGTGGGGTGGTTGGGCTCAGCGGGTATTTAGGGCCTGCCCGCTGGCAGAGCAGATTGTGGTTTAGGACGTGGCAAGGTGGGCGCTCTGGGACAGGCCTTAGACACAGCCCCCCTCCTGTGCTGCTGGGCTCACCTGGGTCCTGCAAACGGCAGGACAGAGGAAGAGTGGGGCTGGAGACCCCCGGATTTGCACTGCCCCGGGGCCACGGCTGCCCCGTGCCTCTGGAAAGCCATATCTGCCAGGGCAGGAGCAGGGAAGGGACCCCGCGCCACGGGAGCTGTGGGGCTCTGGGGTGCCCATCTTGCTGCTGCCGCCGCACTGGGCTCCTGGCTCAAGTACTGGGCTGGGGAGCCCTGCTCACACAGCCGAGCCGGGCCCAGCAGCGTCCCGCGCTTGCCTTGAAAGCCCTCCAGTGCCTCCGTGMCGGAGCTCCCAGCTCTTTCCGTCCCTGCCGCTCATCCCCAGGCCCCGGCAGCCCCCCGCGAGGCTGCCTCTCATACTGTGAACACAACCCCCTCTTCGCAGGGGCGCTTTTTTATACGTGGCTCTCGGCAACACTCACGGGGGGTCTTCCCAAGCGCAAGCCCAGGGCTGCCATGGGGATTCCCACGGGCATCCCTGGCTTTGGCTCCCTGGAGCCTCCGCYGCGGCTCCGAGCTGCTCAGAGCCAAGATTGATGGTATTTTTTTCAGTCCCACTCTGCTGTTCCTGTGAGGCCTCCAAAGGATGCCTTTTCTTGAAGCGGGTTCTTCACTGGATATCAAGTCAGGAATTTGGGTGGAGGTGGCTTTTTTTCCCCTTCTTCCAGTGGAGCTGCCTTTGTGAAGGTGAGAAGCAGCACCGCGCGGTGCTGCGTGACCAGTGCTGGCAAGACGTGCTGATGGTTTCACTGGGCTCCTACTGCACTCCCCAAGGAGGGGCAGCACGTGGCCGAACACTGCCTGCCCTCAGACCCCTTGGGAAGCCTTTGGCATCCCCACCTTTCACTGCTGCCTATTACCTCTGTCCTCTCTTCAGAAAGTGGGGCAGGGACGGGGGGAACCTTTCAGCTGTCAAATTGAACCAAGGCGTGCCCGCTGTGGGGACATGTGCCTTGTGTGCCTAGAGCCCCCAGGCTCTCCTTTCACTCCTGATGCACCCRAAGCATCTTCTTCCCTGTCCTCCCGCCAGCCGTGGCACAAAGACGGGTCCCTGCTGGGACCCRGTGACTCTTCTGGCCCATGTTGGGGCCGCTCTGTCTGTACTCCAGTGGATCTCACCAGGATGAGATGGTGGGAGGTGCAGACCACTCAACTGGGAGGTCGGGGTGGGGCTGGGCTCAGTGTTTAAGGGCTGCTGGCTCCATCCCTAGCCCTGCTCAGCCATCCTTGGCCCTGGGGCTCTCCGGGCTGGTCGAGGTGCCCCCTAAAATGCCCAGTGTCCAGTTTTCCCCTCACCCTCTTCCTCTGGTGCTACTGCAGCCAAAGACAGACAAGACACTTCACCTCAGTTGTCTCTTTTTTGATACTTTTTTAAAAAGCTGTGTTTTTTCCCTTAATAAATTTCTACCTGTATTTAAGGAGATGCCTGAGCCCAGTTGTCCCACTGTGGGCTCGGGGGCCAGGGACCGAAGGAGCGAGGAGGGAGAGAGGGGGATGCTTGAGGGGGAAATTCTGGTACTCTCCTAGTGCTGTCCCGCTCAGCRCCACAGAGAAACACAGTCTGCTTAGAAAACCCCACAGCCACCTCTTTATTTGCTGCTTCCCAAGAGCCAGGGTGGGCGCAGGGACTCTCCTGGGGAGGACACGTGTCTGGAGGCCGTGCAGGGCTGGGATTGAGGGTTTCCTTACCTCCAGGGGCTCCCGGCAGCGGCGGCACGGGGCTGGTTTAATCTCCAGGGCAAAAGGCAGAGGTGGCRCGTGGCTCCCGTCCCCGGAGCGGTGCCAAGGGGAGCGGGGCCGGCGCGGCTCAGCAGCCGCTGTTGCGGCGCACGAAGGCGTGCCCGCGCACGGCGTGCTGCATCTCGGTGAAGGCGAGCGCGCCCACGGTCACGTCGCAGGGGCCGAGCGCCTCGAAGCCGCACTTGGCGTAGAAGGGCACGAGGAAGTCCTCGCACATGAGCAGCGCGCGCCGCACCACGGGCAGGCAGCGCAGGTGCTGCAGGTAGCGCCACATGAGGATGGAGCCCTTGCCCTGCTGGCGCGCCGTGCGGTGCACGGCGAGCACGTGGATGTGCACGGCCGTGCCGCGGGGCCGGTGCAGCGTCAGCGCGGCCTGCAAGGGAGGGAGGCGGCGCTAGCCAGGCTCCGCGCCGGCCCTGCTTCCCGCTCCGGCCRCCGGGAGAGCCTGGCTTTGGGAGAAGATGCCGGATTCCAGTGTCTTCTTCTTTGATCTGGCCCTCCACGCTTCCCCTTGCCCTCCCTAGCACTGGAGGTTTTTCTTTTCTGAAATTAATGCTTTTTCATAGCAGGGAAAGTGCTGTTTTAATAACAGCAGCAGCAATTAAGTAATGAGAAATTGCATCTCTGCAAGAGCGGCCCTGGAGCGTTTCACTGTGCAGAGATCTCTCTCCTGCGTCCCTGAGCTCCTGGAATCCTGAGCTCCGGATTGCCTGGGGAGAGCGATGAGCTCGTGAAGTGCTTYGGAGCCGAGAAGTGCTGAGGAAGTGGCCGGGGGGCTGCTTTCCCRGGAGAGGTCAGGCCCATGACGTGCTGGGAGTTTTCCCAGTGCCTCTCCTCAGAAGCAGGGGATGGGATGGGGGGGCAGAGCACGGCTCAGCTACCCCCAGCCAAATCCCTGCATCACCAGAGGTGTTGGGAAAGCACTTTGGGAGGCTGGGAGGGGCAGGGCTTGTGCTTGCTTCAGTGGCACTGGGTGGCCGATGGAGGGCTGGCATCTCAGTGGGAAAGTGGGAGCCTTTGGCCGGGGCTCGCCAAGGACATGGGCAGCGGGATGGGACGTGCCGGGGCCAGGCTGGCCGTGTTGAGGGGCATGGCGGGGTCCTGCCTCTCCCACCCTCATGACCTCTGCAAGGCCAGGGAGATCGGGCACAGAAAGGCCCAGAGTGTCCAAGCCCCCCAGATAGCGGAGCGGGGCAAGGAGCTCGAGTGGGGGCCCTGGCTCTCACCTGGCTGAGCCTGTCCTCGTCCCAGAGCGAGCCGATGATGAAGGCGACGAGGCGGCCTTCCTCAAACCAGCCGAGGGACAGCTCCGGGCACAGGCTCAGGAAGTGGCGGATCTCGTYCAGGTGCAGCGGGCAGTCCCCGGACACGGAGATGAAGGCTGCAGGGGAGGGCAGTGAGCGAGGCCGGCCCGGCCGAGGCGGCGCSGCCGCGGGAGCCCACCCACCCGCTTACCTTCCCGCTCGATCTCGAACACGCTCGCGGCGTCCTGGGGGCCGAGGCAGCGGAACTCGCTGGCGGGCAGCGTGTGGCGGCGGCCGGGCGAGCCGCGCGGTGGCTGCCGCGCGTGCGGGGCYTTCAGGAAGGGCAGCGCGCCCGGCACCGGCATCGCGCGCCGCTCGCCGGCTCCTCGCGGGCGCCTCGCTCCGGGGCGGCCGCCGGCAGCGCGCCCGGCCTCACCGCGCTCTTCCCCGCGGGAAATCTCCTCCGGCGCCCAAAATACCTGTTGGCGGCGCGGGGGATTAGGCTGCGTGACGCCCTGCCAGCCTCCGCCCACGGGGTCTATCAGCCTTCGCCCAAGGCGGGCCATGGAGCCGGAGACAGCTCGCTCCCTCGGAGCACAGGGGTTCCCTGGCCCGTGCCCGGACACTCCGGGCGATCCCCGTGTGCCCAAGGAGGGTCACAGCGCTGCCACGGCTGCCCTGTCTCTCCGACACCATGCGCAGGGTGGAAGCGGCACAGCTACATCCCTGGATCCCAGACTCGGATCCACTCCCGCARCTTCCACACGTGCCCAAACCAGATTGCTAAGGGCAGAGAGCGCCGCAGCCCGAGAGGATGACACTGAGGAGCGCGCCCGGCCCCCGGGCAGCRGCTCCGGGGCTCCGCTGAGCACGGGAGCAGCTTGTGACACAGCCAGGGGGAGGCCTGGGTGCCCCTAATCACTGCCCGAGAGATGCCAGCTTCCTTGGCTAATTATAGCCTTGCCCGCAGCTAATAGGATTTGCAGAACCCTCGGCCTGGCCKGCACAGGGCACGGCTGGGACACGCTGGGAATTTTCCATCCCAAAGTGCCCGGTGCTGGGGAGGCCCCTTCCCTCCAGGTGGGCTGTCACCGGGACTTCTCTTCCATGAGCTCCGTTATCTAGCTCCATTATCTAGGCCACCAGGTCTGTCTTATCTGGGTTTGGGGAAATATTTAGCACTCTGAATGCTGGCTCTGGTCATCAAGGGGAAGTGCAAGATTATCTGAAATGGCTCCTGGGAAGGAGTGCTTCCCATTCCCATGAAATGCCTGCAAGAGGGAAATAAAGCTGGGGAAAAGGGGGTTGGGGGGGGTCCATGTTTTTTGTTGCACTTGTGGAGCTTATTATCAAATCTGCTGCAACTCCTCKTGCTGCTAATTAGATTAGGGGCTCATCTGCTCAGATAAACCCCAGAGCAGGCGGGACAGCCAGCTCTGGAAACTGAGCAAATGCAAGCGTGGTTTGACCCTGGCCGGCACTGAGCACCCACGGCCGCTTCCCGGGGCACGGCCAGACCCGGCACAGCGGGGTCTCCACCGGGGTCTCCAGCCCCTCTCCCGGGGGATTCGCAACCGGAGCAGCTAGAGGGTTCCAGCAAGAGGTGACACCGCCCGGCTGGCTTCTCCACGGCCGTGGGAATTGCAGAGGGGGGAWTTGTTTGCTGCGAGCCCCTCTTTGCTGCTGGTTTTATTGCAGATCACACAATTGACTGGAAAGACTGGGACTAGCGGCACGTCTGGGATTTTTCCAGACCTCCTGCTCAGTTCATGGCAGAAGGGAATGCTCCCACCAGGTGTTTTTAGAAATGTCTTCAAATCCCAACCCAACAGCTGAGAGCAAAGGACAATAGGAGAAAGGCTGCTCTCTAGCTTGTTTTCCTAAAATATTTCCTTTCTGGCATTTTCTCCCAGCAACCCAGTTTACAAGGCTGTAGAGCGATGCACACGTGCTTGTTTTTTGAAAATGATCTTTCTCCTTGTGCCTAGCCTGCAGGTTTCTGTAGCTGCAAAGGGGGGTCAGTACATGGGGAAATGCATATGCAGAGGAAAAACGACTGCAGAGCAGCTGCCCCTCTGCGCAGAGCACCTGGSACCCCGCAGCAGCAGCCAGGGTCACGGGTGCGTTCGTGGGACGTGTCTCACCTGCAGCGGTGAAGGGAGCTTGCTCCAAGTCACAGGGCAAGATCAGAGCCAGGGTTAGGTGGAAAATCCCCTCTCCTTGGTTCGGGAGACACCTGCCTTTCCTGCTCCAGCACATTCTGCATGGTGCTCTAGTCGCTGACACCCCAGTCTGCGCAGGAGGGAGATCTGAGTGTGTTCATGGTCTCTAGAGATGCCTGGGGTAAACAAACAGGCAAGTCCTCCCCAGCTGCCTAATGGCATCTTTTTATTCTGCTATGAATGTCTGTCTGCACTGGGGGCTTGAATTTTGAGAAGCAAGCAGCAATGTGGATTTATGCACCCGGTTATGAATCCAAATGTTCTTTGCAATAGAGACCTAACTCTTCTCACCCCAAGCACAGAGGGTTTCCTTGCCAGGGCCTGGATTTTAATTGCATGTATTGAACGAGTGGGACAGTGCAGGTTGTGATGAGAGTCACCTTCTTCCTGTCATCAAAGTCACTTTGCAGGTGAGCTGAGCTCAATTTGTGCAAGTCCCTCCCCGCTGGGGCAATTCCCCCTTCCTGGGGCTGCCCCGTTACAGCAGCCCTGGCCCATGAGCTGCCCCCAAGCCTTTCGGCACCACCGGGACACAACAGAAATGCTGGCGCTTACCGGAGGTGGCACGCAATGGGGACACGGAGCTGCTCCTCTGCCCAGGCTGCTCTGCTTGTGTCCTGACGTGGCTGGATGGAAGCAATGAAGAGCCCGGAGTGAATTTTGACCTGCCTCCTGCTCCTGTCTGTCCTGCCTTCGGGAGCCCTTGCCTATATATTTGTTTTTCCTGGAGCACGTGATGACACTCTAAGGGGTTTATAACCCCGATGAAAGACAGGGAGAGGTGAGAGGCTTTAAGGCGACAGGCCAGCAAGGGGATCCCGTCAGGCTTTTCTTCACCAGCGTGGCTGCCTGCAGAGGGATAAGGCATTTAGCTGATTGCTCCATGCTGAGCACCCAGCGCGGGCGAAAGGGCAAGCGGGTGGCTTAGGAAAGAGAGCTACCTGCAGCCCTGCTGAGCAYGGATGCGCTTCCTTTGCTTCCCCCCAAATGTGTCTCTGCTGGGGGATAGGCACCTGAGTCTGCACCTGAGCACGGGTTTAACAAATGTGGGGTTTGCTTTCTTGGCAGTAAATCATTCTCTTCCAGCAGGCGGAGGGAATGGCCCTCGCAAAGCCAGAAGTGAGGCCAGGGTCTGATCCTGGCCAGGATCCTGGGTCTGACCCTGCCTCGAGGAGTCGCACACTCCTCTGGCACTGAGAGTGAGGCAGGAAAGCGTCAGCGAGCAGGGAACAGCCCAGGGCGAGCTGAGGGGTGTGTGGTGAGAACAAAAAGGCCACGGGCCCTGCTGGTGCAGCTGCCGAGCCACAACGTGTGGGGCAACGTGCTGCGAAACCACAGCCACGCAGGGCCACACGCGAGGGTCCCTGCGGATCAGGGCCAGATCTAGGGGTTCTCCCGCGAGGAGCTTGCTCCAAGGRCCAAGCTCTTCCCCCTGCACTCCTTGGGAACTACTGTGTAAGGAAGCAGACAGGCGAAGCCCGCAATATTTGTCCCCACCGGGACAAGTGCAATAAAAGAAGGATTATCCCAGGCATTAGCTCCTAGGAAGGAAATTACCAATGGTTTTTAGTTATTATTTTTGCTGATCTTGGTACCACCATCATGAACCAAAATCCACCTGGAAAGAAATGTTGAGCAGCTGGGCGCACTGTCCCCACCCAGGACAAGTCTTTAGAAAAGGTGTTTCAGAAGCAGCTCCTGACCATTAAAGCTGAGCCCCGGCAGGCAGCAGTTGGCACTCGAGCAGGRAGGCCGGTTTTGGTGCCACTGCCGGCACAGTTCAGCCCAGTCCTTGTCTCCCTCCTCCCACGCAGCTGCAGAGGGTCAAGAACCCCATTAAACAGGAGCCCCGGCAGCAGGCTGACATTTACATATCCAGCAGCTCTGTGGAGCTCCTCAAAGGGCCGGGAGCAGCCGCGCTGCCCGCGCCCAGGGCGCCGTGTCCGCTCGGGTGCCCGCTCAGCGTTATCCCGGGCAGGATTTGCGCGGGGGCGACGCGTGRGAGGCGGATGAATCACTGCGTTTTCAACCCCTCCACCGGGTCTCGGAGTGAGGGAAGCGGCACAAACGCCTCTCCTCGGGGGCACCTTATCCGGGCGCTCTGGGGCGTTAAGCAGCTTTAGGCAGCAGCCTAAGCAGCCTCTGGCCCTCCAGGATCTGCCGTCAAAAGGGACGCGGGTGACATCAGCGGCCTCCCGCGTGGCACCGGGGTTTCTCTCCCAAACTTGCCGATTACTCGGCCTCTCCTGACGCGCCGCAGGAGTTGCTGTGCCCAGCGTGGCCCCGGCTTTTCCGGCCTCCCCACGTGCTGTGAGCCGGCTGGGAGCCAAACCGCAATCTCGCCTCGCTGCAGGCTCAGCCACGGGCTTACGTTGCTCTCACGTGGCCTTTGCAGCAGCTCTAGCCCGGAGAGCGGCAGCAAACCTGGCGGCTTCCCAGGTTATCTGAGGTCCCCGCGCCTGCCCAGGAAGCTGGCCCTGACCTTCGGTCCAGCACGTGTCCCTGCAGGGCTGGGGACCCGCCGTCCCTCCTCGCCACGGGCGGGGGCAGGAAGGGGCACGTTCTGCTCAAGCGCTCAACCCCAAGGCGCTGGGGACCACGCGGGCCCTCCCGTCCCCTCCCCGGAGCCCGTGCTGGTGCTTGACCTCATTCCCTCCTCTGCGCCGGCCCGCGGGAGGTTAGAACTGGGTCACGGGCGCTCGTGGCACAATCCCCATAATGAAGCAGGACGGGGTCCAGCTGGGCTGTGGAGGAAGGGCCTCACACAGTTGGTCCCACGTCCTCTGGGACATGGAGGTTTGGTGGTGCTTGAGTGGGTGACCCTGGTTTTTCTGCCTCTTMAGCCCTGGCTCCAGCCCTGGCCCAGCGCTGTGGGGAGCTGAGGTGATCCATGGAGATCACAGGGGACTAGGGGAAGCTAGAGAAAAGACAGACCCCAAATCTCAGAGCAAGTCTGGGCCTCAGCCAGCCCGGTCAGGGGATTTGCAAGGTCTTGGGCTCAGCAGAGAGGATGAGCAGGAGAACTGGGCTAGCTCATGTCCCCGCTTGCATGAAGTCCCATATAAGAAGCCAGGGCAGCAGAGGAGGGGAGGGAAGGGCTCTTGGGCAACCGTTTCATGAGGCACTGGGCACTTTTGCAGCCA